TTAATTTTAAATGCTTGCTTAATACAAAATCACTTAATGCACTGTCATATAAAGTAATTAAATTTAAAATTACACCAATTTTATATATCAAATGCATAATGACAAATAATTTTGTTAGTATTGTTTATTGCGTATATTTATAATGTAAGCATACTACTGTATGTATCTCACAATTTTATATTTTTAAATACTGAAAGTAATTTTATGGTGTGTGCCTTAAATGGTTATTACTTCCTTTAGAAATTGGCATCCTTTAAATATGTACCAAGGTAATGGCGCTTATAGTGGTGGCGTGACGTTAAGCAAGGTCGTACGAGAAGAAGCAAAAACAGTTATAGCGCTATAATAGGCAAACATTAGGCTAAATTTGACATTTATTTAGCATAATTATAATATTTTTTTATTTCAAAATTATATTAAATTCAATTAAATACAATATTAAATGCAAAAATAGTTAGAAATATAATATATAAATAGTTTGCAAAAATAGTGAATATAGAAAATAATTTTACAATGTTATATATTTTAAATTAAATTAATAGATACATATTATTTCTATTAATAATTTATTAAAAGATATTATATTAACAGTATAATACACTATATTAATTTATCCATAAACAACATTTATTGCAGGGGAGTGCTAATCACCTACCGGTGCTTTACATTGAGGTGCCGTCGAAGGTATCTATTTTGTGAAAAACTGTACCCACATCCGGTACATACAAATGGTTTTGTGTGGGCCCGCAAATGATCCTTCATTGACCTTTTGTGTTTATTCCTATACTGACGGTATGCGAGCACTCCATCCACGGTATGTCCGGAAAGGCGTCGGGATGATGTGTCAGTTGATGTCCAGTCAAACCTTCCACACTCTTATACAGTTGTGGACATCCGGTGAACAAACACTTATGCAACCGATTAGTTGAATGAGTCAATTGGTGTGCAATAAAATCTGATTTCATATTACTCGCGAATGTGCATGCACCATTATCGCACCTGTACTTTTTGCCATGAGCCAGGTAGTTATGCGTAGTTAGGTACCGCTGTTTGCTATAGGTGGTTGAACACCCCTCTACCAAGCACGGGTATGAAACAGTATGGGTTTGTCTATGCTTGTTCAAATATTTGCGATTATCAAATGCCTGTCCACAGCCCTCCCACTTACAGCTATATTTAGATTTAGATGTTTGGACACTAGATGTGTGGGTCATATGTTGCGACATGTGATCGATTAATACGTGTTTATAAAGGGTTTGATAATCGCATCCATTGAGTCCGCACTTGAATGCCTGTCCCAATAGATGCTCACCAGTAGATTCATAGGCTTTAAGGGAACTCCATGTCTGGAAGTGTTGCGAACAGTCATTAAAGTCACAGAAAAATATTTGTCCCGAATGTAGCCTCTGATCGGAGACAATAGTATTAGCCGTACGTCGAGTGCTTTCATCCAATTTATGGGTTATTAATGCTTTCATTATTGAGTGAAGTGCCAGACGCTCACCACAAACCCAATCGCATTCAAAACATTTAATCACTGCATGCCTGTCCTCCCTATTATAGGACTCGCAGGTTTGAGTTGTAGACTTTGTGCGCAAATATTGTATAAAATTAATAATTTTGATGCAATCGTTTGGTGAATATCCTTGCGAACAGATATTGCATTGGATTTTATTGTTCAACACTATTTGCAAAAAAATAATAAGTTAATTAATTTCAGAGAGAGATACCTGGGTTATTTGCTGATATTTTTCTCAAGTCTTGCAAACATTGTTCGCATATTGAGTGACAACATGGAGTGAGTTGTGTACCACTGGTAGTGTCCAATACTTTACGACAAACACTACACTCACATAATTGTGTACAAAAACTACTATCAATTTCAGCACTCATTTCACTTCAAACATAGTTTACGGTACTATTAATTAAATAAATTTTATTCACTTAACATGCAATTAAATAATTTAAATATTGTTTTAGCGACAATTACTCAACACAAATGTGTCAACATAAACGTGCTAAACATCAATGAATACCCCGTATATTAAATTGTTTGGCAACCCTTACCATCGCTCAGGACCTATTAGATCTACAGGTCCTGCATTACACCCAGTGATGCAATACTTACGGGGAACTGGATTTGTAGGAACAGTAGTAACGAGACATAATTCCCTGAACTTCACATTTAATTTGAACTAAAAAGTCATAAATTATTTTGTATTTTAAGTTTAGCCTTCAAAGGGTATACCGACTGTTGGGATCACAAACTGTAAAACAAATCTAATTTATAGGTTTTTTTAGTTCATAAAATATTTTCTTATAACAAATAGATCTCTTAAGTATAAACTTAAAAATTTTTGTTTTCATTATTAAATAATACTATATATAAAATCGTTTTCTAATTTTTAAAAATTCTCACTTATTTCTATGTATTTATATATTTACACAACTTTGACAAGTGAGTAGCAAATATTATTTATTTTCTTTAAAAGTGAAAAACAATTATGGTCTAGGGCATTTTATTTATTTATTTTAGTAAATATTTAGTTTATAAACTAAGTAGATATATTTAAAAATTATTTAAATTTCAAGAATCTAATTTATATAAAATTATTTAAGCAAATTGTTATTTATTATATCAGTAAACAACTTTCAAAATCATTGGGAAGATTTATT